TATAATTCCCCGCACAGGCAGTCAGGTTCTCTTCCCCCCCCCCCACACACACACACCTACACCCCCACCCCAGACAGAGTATGGGCCAGAAAATCTTGGGAGCCGGAGGTTCCTCAGCCTGGCCCCCACCATTTGCTGGTAGCTGCAGGGAAATAGTTCCTGTGGGTCAGACCTTAGAAGAAAAAACACTGCACAGCTGTCAACAAAAAGAAGGTGATCAATGAAACAGAAGGAAATATTTATCAACCATCCTGATAAGGGATCAATACCTAATTATGTAGTTCTGCATGTTTTATATTTTAGGCACTATGATAGCAGGGGCTGGAGCGATAGCACAGCGGTAGGACGTTTACCTTGCACGCAGCCAACATGGCCGACCTGAGTTCGATTCCTCCGCCCCTCTCGGAGAGCCCGGCAAGCTACCGAGAGTATATCGCCCGCATGGCAGAGCCTGGCAAGCTCCCCATGATGTATTCGATATGCCAGACACAGTAACAACAAAGTCTCCAATGGAGACATTACTGGGCTCGCTCGAGCAAATAGATGAACAATGGGAGGGCCTTTACCTTTACCTTTATGATTTGCAAGAACTGTTAAAGATAAGGTCTCCTGCACTCAACGTTCCAATACCACAGCCTCCACCAGCCTGGTCCTCTCCTCAACCCACCCACCCTCTCCCAATTACGTTTGTTTTTTTGTTTGGGGGCCATATCCAATGGTGCTCAGGGCTGACTCCTGGCTCTGTGTTCAGGGATCACTCCTTGTAGGGCTTGGAGAGCCATAGGGGATGCCAGAGATCAAACTAGAGTTGACTGCATGCAAAGCAAACACCCTACCCACTATCTCTCCAGGCCCCAGTTACAATTTTTTTTCATTTTTGGGTCACACCCAGCGATGCACAGGGGTTACTCCTAGCTCTGCACTCAGGAATTACTCCTGACAGTGCTCAGGGGACCTTATGGGATGCTGGGAATTGAACCCGGGTTGGTTGTGTGCAAGGAAAATGCCCTACCCACCTATCGCTCCAGCCTCCAGTTACAATTTTTAAACTTTACAATTTTATTTTTTGCTTTTCAGGTCACACCTGGCGATGCAAGGAGTTACTCCTGGCTCTACACTCAGGAATTACTCCTGGCGGTGCTCAGGGGATCATATGGGATGCTGGGAATTGAACCCGGGTCGGCCGCGTGCAAGGCAAATGCCCTACCCGCTGTGCTATTGCTCCAGCCCCTAAACTTTATAAATTTTAAACAAAAAAAACTCAATATAAAAAAAAAAGGTAATGGGCAGAGACACTGAAAAGGAATTTTCCCAAAGATATTTAGACAGTGAATAGGTACCTGGAAAGATGTTCAACATCACTCAGCATCAGAGGAACATCCATCCAGAGTGAGAGCTCTCACTTTCACACCTGCTAGAATGGCTGCAGGCGTGGCTCAAGGGAAGAGAATATACCCCACATGAACAAGCGCTTGAGTCTGAGCACCTAAGGCCCCCTGAGCACCCGTGGGGTATAAGCCCTCAGTCCCAGAAGCCCCAAGCACTGCTGATGGCAGCCCTCCTTTGAGAACACACATATATGTATAGGATAGAGAAGGGATGCCTGCCCTTAGCACAGATGCAGGAAAGAGCCCTGAGTATTGCTGCCGGGAGTGTGGATTGGCAGAGCTGTCCTGGGAGATGTTGGAAGTCAGTCGACCCGGCAACAACAGAACTGCAGAGCAAAGCTTGGGATGGGGCTCAGAGGCTCAGCATCCAGTCTGGGCACCGTAACCCATCAATCAATCAACCAAGCACCACCTCTGGGTCTCTGTTCAGAGGAAATGAAGCATGAAACCTGGACTGGAGAGACGCTAGAGTGGGCCAGGCACTTGCCTTGCCGGAGGCTGACCTGGGTTTGCTCCCCAGCACCACATCGGGTCTTCCAGGGGCTGCCAGGACTGATTGCCGAGCACGGAGCTAGAATAAGCTCTGCACATAGGGGTGGCCCACAAAAGAAGAAGAGAAAAGAATCATGAAATCACTCTCTTGAAGCAGTCTCTGCTCTCATGTTCATTTTAGCATTCTTTATAGTAGACCAGACCTGGAAATAACCATAGTCTATGAACAGATCCTCATCTGAAGATACTGGTTGAAGACAGTGGGGCAAAGATCTAGACGCACAGGTCTAGATACAGATAGAATGGAGCATTATTCAGCCATCAAAAGGAGGCTATCTTGGGCCAGAGTGATGACACAGAGTGGAGGGCACTTGCCTTGCAGGCGGCTGCCCCAGATTCGATCCCCGGCATCCCATATGGTCTGCCAAGCACCGCCAGGAGTAATTTCTGAGTGCAGAGCCAGAAGTTAACTTCTGAGCATTGCTGGGTGTGGCCCAAAAATACAAAAACAAAAAAAGGAGGCTAGCTTGCCATTCAGGAAGTAAAATAAGACAAAGAAAGATACATACCATATGGTCTTACTCAAATGCGGAACCTCAAAACTCTGAACTCAGAGAAAGAACAATTAATTATACGGGTGGTTGCCAGAGGCAGGCAGTAGGGGAATTGGGTAAAGTTGGCTAAAAAGGTGCAAACATCCAGTTACCAGATAAACAACTTCTAGGAAGGTCATGCACAATAGGAAGCATGGGGTCTATAGTTAACACAGCAGAAAGTTGCTCAGAGAACGGATGCTGAAAGTGCTCATCTCCGGAACCAGAGAGATAGTACAGGCATTGAGGCACTTACCTTACATGCAGCTGACCCTGGTCCCCTGAGCACCTGAGCACAGAGCTTGGTTGAGCCTCTCAGCACTGACAGTTGTGGCTCTAAAACAAAAACAAATTCTGTAATTAAAAATTTAAACAGGGGCTGGAGAGATAGCACAGTGTGTAGGGTGTTTGTCTTCCACGCGGCCGACCCTGGTTTGATTCCCAACATCCCACATGGTCCCCTGAGCACCGCCAGGAGTAACTCCTGAGTATAGAGCCAGGAGTAACCCTTGTGCATCGCCAAGTGTGACCCAAACAGCAATAATTAATTAATTAAATTAAAATTAAAATACCTCATCATATGGCCCAGGAAGAGAGGGCAAAGGGCTGTAACACACACTTCTCACGTGGGCTCAGTCTCCAGCATCATCCGGTGCCCCCCCCCCAAGCATCACTAGGAATGAGCATGGAGCCAGGAATAGCTTCTGAGCACCACCAGGTATAGCCCAAAAGAAAAACAAACCAAAAGTCTCGTCACAAGAGGGAAAATAATTATAAGAGATGATGGGCGTTTGTTAAAATTGTGATTATTTTGCAATGCATCCATTTGTCAAATCATTAGACAGCGCACCAGAACTAAATTTGTGGTATATGTCAAGGATATCTCAATAAAACTGGAACAAAAACAGCAAACTAAAAAAAAAAACAGGAATAAAAAGTGTTTGAGATTTTGCTTTAAAAGGCTACAGCAAATAAAGCAATATGCCTGAAGTTGAGAAGCAGAGGCAGCAGAGCTAAGCTGAGGAGGAAGATGTTTGGGATGGAGCTGAGTCAAGCTTCAGAGCGCCAGTGGTTCATTATCCAGAAGTTTCGAAAGCCATTTGTTAAACCAGAGGTGGCTTGAAATCATTCACAGAGAGTTTTCACCAGGGGAACTGGCAAGTTTTAAAAACCTGGGCTTTACCTGCCTGCCCAGAACCAGAACCAGGGGTCCCCCAAACGGAATTTTTCGAGATAGATTAGTGGCATAGTTTCACGTGCTGGTGAAGGATTCACACAGATCAGGTGAAAATCCCAAGCTTCCAGGGTTGGGGGGGAGGGAGGGAGGGGCTATGGAGATAGTATGGTGGGTACAGCACTTGCCTTACATGCGACCAACCCCAATTTGACCCCCCCAGTACCACATATATTCCTCCTAACCTCTCCAGGAGTGAACCCTGAGCACAGAACCAGAAGTAAGCCCTGAGCAGCACCAGGTGTAGCTTAAAAGGGGGGAAAAGAGCAATGAGTTCATTACAAAACCCTCTGGAGTCGGGAGAACACTACCACTTTGTTTGGAAGAGCCAAGTGGTTTGGTCTCAGGTCTAGAAAGGGTCCCAACAGTCTACAGCCAGAGCGACAGGAAAACAGATAGGGCATTTGCCTTGCATGCAACTGGCCAGGGTTTGATTCCCGGCATCCCATATGGTCTCCCAAGCATCACCAGGAGTGATGACTGAGTACAGAAACCGGAGCAACCCCTGAGCCCAGCCAAGTGTAGTACACACACACACACACACACACACACACACACACACACACACAATGTGGGGTGTCCGCCAGCAGTGATTCCTTACTACAGAAACAGAAGCAACCCCGGAGCCTAGCCAAGTGTGCTCCAAATACCAAAACGAAATGTGGGGTGTCATGGATATTAGTGTGTGTGGGGGGGGGGGAAGGGCCACTTAGGAACCTCTGGGTCATTAACTGCAAATACATTTCCAGACACATGACACCCGTCCATTCTAACCCGCAACCTGCCAGTTCCCTTCCACGCAAATCCAGGGCAGTCCAAGCTGATCTTTGCACCCACGTTGGTCAGTCGAGCTCCGGGGAGGGGAGGGAGGAGCGACACTCAGCCCAGGCACCACAAAGGTTCTGCTGTCCTGAAGGAAACTCCAGGTCCGCCAGCGTCAGCAGCTGCCAGGCCAGCCTGCCAGCTCTTCCTGCGGCCCTGGCTTGGGTGTGTGTGGGGACGGGGCCAGCGGCCAAATTCTCGCCGGGCTCGCGAACAAGTTCCACGAGGCTGTTTGCTGAAGAAAATTCCAGTGGGTGCATCCAACACATGGAACTCAAGTACAGAAATTATATTTATCCCTCCCCGTGCCAAGGCGATCACATGCCCAGTGAGTCACTCCAGATGTGCTCAAAAACAGAGGCGCTCTGTGGAAGCCCAGTCCCCCCAATCCCGGAGAGAGTCAGATTGACACAGGTCCCAGCTCCTGTCTACAACCACCCTCCCTCCCCCGCCCGCCAAGAGTCTCCCCCCAGTCCCTCTGCTCAGAGGCGGGAGTGGGCATCCCCGCCCTGGACCGGCCAACAGTGTTCAGAGCCAGATCACTGCAGCCGAAGGACCAGTCCAGACATACCTGCCCTCCCGGGTCCCCCTGGGCTTGAGGGCAACTTCGCCATCTCTCCCAGGCCAGGATGCGGTGGAAGGCGTTGTTGCTTCTGCTGCTGTGTTCCGATGCTCCCGTGACGGCAACCCACAGGTGGAACCGGGGTAAGTTGCCTGGTGTGCGGGTACTTTGTCTCATAGTCGGAATGCAGAGGGGGGCAGAGAAGGGCAGGGGCAGCCGTTGACTCCCTCCAGGCGTCTCCTGGATGGGGGGAGAGGAGGACAGGTGATGAGGGAAGCGATGCTGACATCCATCAGAGCTACCAGGGTGCAGGAAGCGGAGGGCACCCGGGTTCTCACACTGCCTTGAGCCCCTCCACTGGGCTGGGGAGCAGGTGTCTACATCTGAGGAGTGGGGGGAGGGGGTTGTCCTGGGGAAGCCAGGTCAAAGGCTCTGAGTCTAGATCCTTGGCATGGGATGCCCAGGGTGCACCCACCTTCCGGCGGGGCAGAACTGACTGGTGGCAGGAGAAGGGAGGGCCCCTCGGTCTGCCTGCTCCCCCCACCAAGGAAGGGGCCGGGGCTCTTGCCCCTAGGAGGTGGTTTCCCTCAAGAGGGGGCTTTTGTGGCTGGAAAGATAGTACAGCTGATAGGGCATTTGTCTTGCACACAGCCAACCCAGGTTCGATCCCGGCATTCCATATGGTCCCCCAAGTACCTCCAAGAGTAATTCCTGAGTGCAGAACCAGGAGTAACCCCTGAGCATTGCTGGGTGTGGCCCAAAAAGCAAAACAAAAAAATGAGGGGGCTCTTGGGAGCCTCGGGGATCTGAGAGCAGAGCAGGCAAACAGCTCTGCCTCTCTGGAGTTCTCAGTCCCCCGTGAGGCCAGGTTCCTTGCAAAGTGCCCAGCCTGAGACTGGGGTCCTCCGGTCCCTCCAGAGCTGAGCTCTGAATCCCACTGCCCAGAGACAAATCACAAATAAGCATGCATTTCCCGTTTCCTCTTTAATTGTTCTTTTGGTTCTGGGAACAATGTCTGGCTCATGCACTCCTCCTGCTCGTGTTCAGACCCTGGAGATGGCACTCAATGTAGAGTGCTCACTTCTGCATGGCCGTGGGCCTTGGCTGTTTTAAAAGAACAGTCCTGGGTTGGAGTGATAGCACAGCGGGTAGGGCATTTACCTTGCATGTGGCCGACCCAGGTTCGATTCCCAGCATCCCATAGGGTCCCCCGAGCACCGCCAGGAGTAATTGTTGAGTGCATGAGCCAGGAGTAACCCCTGTGTATCACCAGGTGACCCAAAAAGAAAAAAAGAAAAAAAAAAAGAATGGTCCTGGGCTGCAACAAGAGCCGTGGGTCAGGTGCTCACCTGGTGAGAGACAGTTGCTGGGCCAGTCGCCTGCCCCACAGAATTCCCTAAATAGTCAGGAATAAGCCCAGGGTGGGACCCCCAAGACCCCCACCCCCATCATCATCACCATCCCCACTCTTCTAGACACCCAAGGAGACGACTTGATTTGTTACAAGTCTAGGAAATGCAGACAATTGTGGCCAGGCTCCTTGCAAAGTGCTCAGAGATTGAACGTCTGGGTCCAATTACCCACGTGGTCTCCTGCAAGTCTGTCAACCCCGCCAGCACTCGCTAGTTCACTGATGCCTCCCACGAACCAATCTTACACTCCCTGACTTGTCCTCAGGGTGGCAGGGCACCCGAGAGGCAGTGCAGATCTCTTACCTTGCACCAGGCAAGCCTGGGTCCGATCCCTGGCACTGCATCATATCCCTCGAGCACTGCCAGGAGAGGTCCCTGAGCACAGAGCCAGGATCAAGCCCGAGCACTCCCAGGTGTGGCCCCAAACCAAAAAAAAGGGGGCGAGAGTGAGGGTAACTAACATGCTTTGTTGATAATGGAGTCACAAATATCATTAAGGAAAGTTTAGGGTACTCAGCAGGACCACACTCTACTCCTCACTGGGGAAAGGACTGCCTCCAGTAAGCCCACCACCAGCACAGAGACCCCAAGTCGACCCCAGCTGGAAGGTCAGCACTCGGGGGAGAGTTAGCAGTGGTGAGCTGGCAGCTAGGGCTGGAGGCCCCCAACCATCAGAAGAAAAGGGAGTAGAGGCTAGCATGATAGCATAGTGGGTAAGGCATTTGCCTCGCACATGGCAGACCCAGGTTCAATTCCCAGCATCCCTTATGGTCCCCCGAGCACCATCAGGAGTAATTCCTGAGTGCATGAGCCAGGAGTAACTCCTGTGCACTGCCAGGTGTACACAAAAAAAGCAAAAAAAAAAAATGGTCTGGGGGGCGTTCTGCTCCTTCATGCCCCCACCCAGCCTCAACCCACCCTCCCCAGCCCCCCAGCCTACACCCACCTTCCCCGCCCACAGAGGCAGAAGGAGACACATCTGCCAGCCCGGGAGCTCTCGAGGATTCTGGCCAGAGGCAGCATCTTCCTCCTGTGGCTGGACTGGCCACAGCCACCAGCTGCAGACCCATGACTCACCTGCGGTTAGTGAGCCCCACCCAGGGGCCCCCACACCTGGCTCAGTCCCAGTGACCCCAGGGGCGCCTGCCAGAACACTGATGGGCAGACTGGAGAGTCTTTCCCCCCCCCCTTTTTTAAGATTTCTGGGCAAGTTACTCTGAAATTAATTCGAGGGAGGTAGTTTGGGTCACTCCCACGGTGCTCAGGACTTACTCCTGGCTCTGTGCTCAGAGCTCACTCCTGCAGGCTGGGGTGTGAAGGCCCATTTGGGGTGCCAGGGATTGAACCCGTGTACACCTGTGCAGTGTGAACATCAGAAGGACAAGGGGAGTAGTTTTCACTTCATTTGCCACATTTTCCCTCTAAGCTCTAAAAGGTACAGTTCATTCACCCCTGTCTTACCTCTCTGACCCTAAAGATTGATGCCTTTATTCACTGCCTTGAAAGTATTTCTTCCAAGAGCCAGGAGGGGGATGGGGGCCCCCCGCTGTGAGGAGGGGACATCATCTGGCATGTTCGGAGTCTGTTTTGGACTGAGTCATGAGGGGTTCGACTAGGGCTGATTGAGCAGCATGGTGGTGTGGCCGCAATGTGCCCGCCGCTCTCCCCCATGCCCCTTCACTGTACCTAGAGGGTTTGTGTCAGCCTTTCCAGCCGCAGAGGACACTTGCCTGGGAGGATAGAGCTGGACTTGTCCCTCCTGTCCCCCTCCCCCCAAATCTATGGCCTCAGAGTCTGCACATTCTCATTCACACCCTGAGCAGCCCCTGGGTGGGGAACCAGCCCTCAGCAGCCTCGGTGACGCCTTCCCAGCCACATACACACACACACACACACACACACACACACACACACACACACACAGTCTTGCAGCTTCTGCTGAGGTCCTGGCCCAGTGGCTCACTCTGAACATCACTGTGTTTCCAAGGGGCTGGCCCAGGTGTGGAAAAGCAAATGACTTCATCCGGGTTTGGCAAAGGAACATGTTTAACCTTGGGCCGAGCTACCCCACATACACCCACATGCCCACATGCATGCGCACACACACACACACACACACACATACTCATACATGCCCACACACACACATACTCATACATGCCCACACACACACATACTCATACATGCCCACACACACACATACTCATACATGCCCACACACACACACACACACACACACACACACACACACACACCATCCTCTTCAGCACAGTCACAGAGCTCAGACCCCACCCAGGCTCTCTAACGGGTGTTCCTCCACCCCTGCCAGCCCATTTGGCCGTCCCGGGGCTGCCCGTGAAGCTGAAACCACGATTATATGGAGCGTGCCAAGGCAGGAAGGAGAGAGCTTCACCCCACTTAGAACGGGTTGCAGAGCAGGCGAAATTTTCCCTGCAGGGGTCAGCATCTTGCTGAGATGCTTCAGAGGGGCACCCCCCTGTCCGGGACAAGAGCACTCAGGGGAGCTTCTGGGGAGACAGGAGACCACACCCTCCCTCCAGATGACAGCCAGGACATGGAGCAGCCCTATTTGAGGAGTGGGACTGAACACAGCACTCTGAAAAGAATAGAGCGTGGGGGGCGAGAGACTCATACAGGGGGGAAGGAGGTCTCCTCGCATGAGGTCGACCCAGGTTCAATGCAGAACCACACAGGGTCCCCCAGTCCCCACCAGGAGTGATCCCTGAGCAAAAAACCAGGAATAAGTCCTGGGCACAGCCAGATGTGGCAGAGAGAGGGAAGGAAGGGGGAGAGATGAGGAGAGGAGAGGAGGGGAGGGGAGGAGAAGGCAGGAGATGGGCGGGGAGAGGAGGGGAGAAAGGAGAGGAGGGAAGGGGAGTGGAGGGAAGTGGAGATAAGAGGAGGAAGGAGAGGAGGGAGAGGAGGGGAGGACAAGGAGGGGAGGGGAGAAGAGAGGAGAGGAGGGGATGGGAGGGGGAGGGAAAGTCAGGAATGGGAGGAGAGAAGAGGGAAGGGAAGAAGAGGGGAAAAGAGGAGAGGGGAGAGGAGAGAGGAGAAGGGTAAGGAGCGGGGAGGGGAATCAGGGGGAGAATAGGGGAGGGGAGAGAGAAGGAATAAGGGAGCTGATAAGGAGGTTGAAGGGTGACCAGGGTCCTTCATTCATGCACAAACAGCCAGGGGAGGATGCTGGGCAGAGAACCAGACAGACAAGCCCACCCAGGGGCTGGGGACACACACACACACACACACACACACACACACACACACGAGCTTTGTTGTTGTTAGGGACTTTGGGTGGAGTAGAGGGGACTCAGCTCTGGAACGGGGCTTCCCGGAGTAAAGGGGAATCCAATGCTAGCGCCCAAGGGCCAGAGACACTCTGGCCCTGAGGCTGGTGGGTACCACAGGGACCACCAGAGACATACTAGGAGTTCTGGGGGTGGCAGAGCTATAGCCAGCAGTACCAGAGGAGGCCACACCTGCACCCCCTGACTGCTGTCCTATATCTCATGCTACTCCTGGGTCTGTGCTGGGGGGTGGGGGGCTCACTTCCAGCAGCGCTCAGGGACCATGAGGTTCTGAGGAACAAACCTGAGTCTCCTGCAGTCAGAGCATGAACTTGACCTCTGGGCTGTGCCTATCATTCTTAAGAGAATGGCCAGGGAGGGCCCCCCTGAGAAGGTGATTAAAGATGCGTTAGCCTAGCAACCTCCAGAGAAAGAGTGCCACAGGCAGAAGGAAGAGATGTTCAAAGGGCCTGGGGTCCAGGCATGCCTGGTGTTTGTGGGGAGCACGTGGAGGCTTGTGGCGGGCCTCAGGAGCTGGGGAGAAAGGAGTCCAGAGACGCAGTAAGAAACCAAGCCTTTCAGCCTGGGCCCTCAGGAACTATTGACTTTGAGTGAGACGGAAGGTGTGTTTGGGCCCAGGAATGATGACCCTTCGCAGAATCACACGCACGTTCTCTGCAGCCCAAGAAGGAGACGGAAGCCAAAGATGGCAACAAAATGTTGCCACAAGCCCTGGTGAGGGGTGAGCAGAGATGCAGGGTGAGTCAGATTCCAGAGAGACTGGAGAGGTCGCAGAATACAGCCAGGGGATATGGGGGGCGGGGGGGGGGGGGCTGGAACAGGTAGGAAAGAGGAAGTCAAAGAAGGAAAAATTCCCCAGGTTTGAGGCTTAGTGAGTGAGATTGGAAGACTGCAGGGCCAGACCTGTGCATATATGTGTACACGAGTGCATGTGTGTATGTGTGTATAATTATGTGTAAGTGGATGGATGTGGGTGCAGACGAGGAATTTTCACAGGTGTACCTGATGTGTGCACTTAAATGGGGTATGAGTATGTGTGTGCCTGTGTGTGAGTGCATCTTTACACATGTGTATATGTGCGCACATGTGTAAATGAGTACAGATGGGGAGTTTACATGTGTGTGTCTATGTGTGTGTTTAAATGAGAGATGAGTGTGTGTGTGCCTATGTGTGAGTGCTTCTTTACATATGTGCATGTGCTTGTGTGTGTGTGTGTGAGTATGTGTGTAAATGGGTGGGTATGGGTGCAGATGGGGAGTTTCCGTGTGTGTCTACGTGTGTATTTAAATAGGATATGAGTGTATGGGGCTGGAGCGATAGCACAGTGGGTAGGGCATTTGCCTTGCAAGCAGCCAACATGGCCGACCCAAGTTTGATTCCTTTGTTCCTCTCGGAGAGCCCAGCAAGCTACCAAGAGTATTTCGCCCGCACAGCAAAGCCTGGCAAGCTCCCCGTGATGTATTCGATATGCCAAACACAGTAACAATTGTCACAATGGAGACGTTACTGGGCCCGCTCGAGCAAATCGATGAACAACGGGAGGACAGTGACAGTGACAGTGATGAGTGTGTGCCCATGTGTGAGTACATCTTTACATATGTGCGTGTGCGCACGTGCTTATGTGTGCTATTGCGAACCCCAGTGTTGCCCGGTAGACTTCTAAACTGGGAACAGAGATGAGGGGCAGCGGAGAGTCAGTGTGGCTGGGAGAGTAGAGGGAACTGAGGACGAGCCTGGAGTCGGAAGCATGAGCTGGGTGGTGGGAGCCGGCAGCAGTGAGCGGGAGTTTTAAATAGAAGCAGCAAAAGTTTGCCAGGTTGGAAGGAGAGGAGGAAGGAATGAGAGAGGAGGGAAAGGGGAGGGCCTCGGGCACAGGAGGGGACCATGGCATGCTCTCGGTCTCTCCCTGTCTCTGTCTCTGTCTCTCTCTGTCTCTCTCTCTCCTCTCTCCTCAATCTCTCTCCTCTTTCTCTCTCCCTTTCTCTTTCTCTCTGCTCTCTCTCTCTGCGCTCTCTCTCTCTCTCTCTCTCTCTCTCTCTCTCTCTCTCTCTCTCTCTCTCTCTCTCTCTCCTCTTTCTCAGCAGGAGTATCAGGCAAGAAACTGGGGCCTGGTTTCGGGGAGGCAGATGGGGCAAGGGGATCCTCTGTTTCACAGGCACCGAGCGAGCGGGAACAGAGAGCTGAACCCTGGCTCAGAAAACAGTAGATGGGTCAGCAGATAGGGAATTGCACAAAAAGTCAGATCAAAACGGATTAAAGACCAAACATCAGGCCAAAATCCTTAAGGCAACTGAAACCACTTTCACTTCCACCTGGCAGGTGGTCTTCCTCCCAGGGTACTCCAGGCCTAGCTCCACTCCGTGGAGGGAGAGAAGGTGCCTTGGCCCAGGAATTTGCAAAAGGAGGGAGAAAAAGGTCTGGGCTGTGGGGAAGAAAGGGATTGGAGGATGTGGATAATTCTCTTCCAGTGCATGTGGGGTTTATGCCACCCCACTGCCCTGTGACTGACAGCAGTCTCAGGACCAAAAAGAATGCCTGAGGTGTGTGTAGGTGAGGGGTAGGGGGAGGCCCCTACAAGCAGAGAACATTGTACCCTCTCAGGGGAGCAGGGTCAAGGGAGAATTTAATCCTCATTGCCAACAAACTGGGTGACCTCCGGGCAGACACATTTCATGAACTCCAAGTTCAGTCAAAGGGGGCACCCTTGTCCAGACACCAAACCTCACATAGGATTTCATGAAACTGTGCCTCACACAACTCCAGGGGGTGCCACTGGCATGGGTGCCTCATAGGCTTTCATAATTCACAATCAAATGTCTGGAAGAAGCTGCACCTTCCCAGAAGCAGCCAGAAGCTGCCTCGCCCATCAGACTGTGCTGATTTGGGGTGTGCGGGGCTGTGGGGGGAGGCTGACTCTCCCTTCCTGCTCTCCCTGACTCCCCTCTGATGCAGTGACCACTCCGTTTCTGTTGCGGTTTGCTTTGGGGCCACAACCGGAGATGCTCAGGAAGTTCTCCTGGAAGTATTCAGGAGACCATATGGGATGTCAGGGATCGAACCCAGGTCAGTGGCAGGTACTAGGGCTCATGCCCCTTTCTTAATGGAGCTCTGGGACCAGTCCAGGAAGCTGCACTCAGGCAGCGCCCTGAGCAGGGAGCCTGAGACTCCACCGTCCTGGCCCCTACTCAGAGCCCGGGGCTGGTGGCTACTTTCTCCTTTGTTTCCTTGGTCACCCGCACACACAGCTGCTCAGGGACTCCTCCTGGCAGTGCTCGGAAACCATACAGGACAAGGACAGGATCCAGGCCTCCTGCATGCGCTCAGATTCCGGGCATCTGGATGTGGATGGAGGGTGGATAGCTGGATGTCTGGAACTCTTATTTGAAAAGCTCTTCTGGCTGCACCAGGAGATAATAGGGCAACTGAGAATCTGGCACTGGGTGGGTTCCCGCCCCATGTAGCCCCTGGGTAGCAGCCTGGGGCCCTGCATTGAACCACCAGCCTAGTGAGGTGGAAACTGAGCTCAGCGTAGGAGCCCCCCCCACCCCGCAACCCAAGAAAAAATATGTTCTGATTTAAAAGCTTGTGAAGATCTCCAAGCACCACTGTGGGGTGAGCTTGGGGTCCCCCACACCCAAGCAGCAGCAGGCTGGGAGTCGATACTTGAGCAGAATGTCCTACTGATGAGGGACAGAGCTGAGCACCAGCGCGGCCGAGGAAGGGGATATTTAGGAAACTCTGGGACTGAAGGGGAGTATCCCCACATTTCCGCTTCCTCTGAGCACAAATCTCTTAAAGGAATCCCTAGTTCCACATATCACTCTTTTTACAACTTTCTACGATACCAAATGACGACTTGGTCAAATTTGAAATCGATGAGATACTAACATCAAACTTGACTGGAAACTTCCTGAGACACACAGTTTTGGGGCTGTCACTTCTCCAGCTTGACATCCATCACCTCACCCCGACTCCCCCATTCAGGCTGATGGCCTGCAAGGCCCATGGGCTGGACTCTGGGTTTGTTTTGTTTGGGGGCCACACTCGGTGGTGCTCAGAGCTTACTCCTGGCTCTGCGCTCAAGGATCACTGCTGGCCATGCTCAGGGGATCATATGGGGTGCCGGGCATGGAATACGGGTCAACCACTTGCAAGGCAAACACTCTCCCCGCTGTGCTATCTCTCCAGCCCCATGTTTCCGGTTTAAGAGCAGGGGTGCACGCAGCCCCTCGAGCTGAGCTTGCCCCTTGCTCCCTTGCAGCTGTGCTGTTCCCTGCTGCCCAGCGGCCAAAGAGAGCCTCAGCGGTGCCCTTGAACCCCATCCTGCAGACCTCCCTGGAGGAAGTGGAGCTGCTCTACGAGGTAGGCACCCGTGCCCACTGCTTGGGAAAAATCACGGCGAGCCCGGGAAAGGCTGGGCTGCTGACAGCCACAGGAGCTCATGGGATCGGACCCATCCCACAAGGACAGGTCAACCTGTGATCCTCATAGCCCTGTGGTCCGTCTCTCCTGCCCACCTGCTGTTGCAGGGGTGTGGCCTGCGATACTCTGGGGAGGCAAAGCTAGAGGCTGGTGCGGCCCAGCACCCAAGCTCCAGAGTGGGAGGTGCGCATGCGCGAGAGACGGTCTGCCCGGGACACCTCAGCTGTGGCACTCGGCAGTCACCCAGACACTCTCTTCCTCCACCTTCCACACCCTCATTCTTGAGCACCCCCTTTCCTCCTCTAACGCCACTGGGAAATTTCCCAAGGCACTCAGCTCAGAGATGAGAGTCCAGCCGGCTGGGGTCTCCAGGCCAGCAATGGGACCCTGCATAAACCAACCCCCAACTCCTGGCTGGACTCCCCTCAGCTGTTAAACAGGAGACTGACACAAATCTGACATTCTGTCTGCCTAAGAGCCAGCCTGCTGTGCCCCCTGGCATGGTGGGTGATTCCAGATCACACCTCGAGGAGCAGACTGGGCTAGAGGTGGCTGTTGTCAGTCTGGAACATGGGTGCGATCAGAACTGATGTGGGTTCCAGAAAGGACCGAGTATGCAGGGAGGCCAAGGGCAGAGTCAGGAGCACGAGGCATCTGCTAGGTTCCTGATACCAGCCCGGCACTGTGCAGGGGGTAAATGATGAATGATGGACCCAGCCCCATCTAAAACAGGTGACAAAGAAGGACAACGTTCTGGACCCCTCTGTGTGTCAAGCACCATTCTTTGCATCCTCCAAATGCCTGGCGACTGACTAAGATGATCCCAAAGAGTCCATGCTTTCTGGGACTGGAGAGAGCACAGCGGGTAGGGCGTTTGCCTTGCACACACCCAACCGGGGTTCGACTCCCAGCATCCCATATGGTCCCCTGAGCACGGCCAGGAGTAACCCATGTGCATCATCGGGTGTGACCCAAAAAAGAAAAAAAAAAGCAAAAAAGAGTTCATGATTTTTGTTTTGTGTGTGTGTGTGTGTGTGTGTGTGTTTTGGGTTTTTTGGGGTTTTTTTTTTTTTTGCTTTTTTGGGTCACACCCAGCAATGCACAGGAGTTACTCCTGGTTCATGCACTCAGGAATTACCCCTAGCGATGCTCAGGGGACCATATGGGATGCTGGGAATCAAACCTGGATCGGCCGCATGCAAGCAAACACCCTACCTGCTGTGCTATTGCTCCAGCCCCAATGTTTTTTCTTTTTAAGAGCATGTTTGTGCTAGAAAGGAGGAAAGAAAGAAGATTCCATCTGGAACACCAGAAAACTATGATGAGTCACATGGCTGGTGACTTTGCCCCCCACCCCCCATTAGGTACTGTCCCTTGGAGTGGAAGGGGGAGGACCAACCACACTCAGTAGTACTGGGAAGTGATTCTAGCTCTGTGCTCAGGAGTAACCTCCGGTGGTGGTCAGGAGACTATATGGGGTGCCAGGATATAAACCAGATCAGAGAAATTCGCACGTTCTTTCTTTTTTTTTTTTTTTTTATTTATTGAATCACTGTGGGAAAGGTTACAAAGCTTTCAGGTTTATGTCTCAGTCATGAAAATATCAAACACATTTCCCTTTACCAATACTTATTTTTTACCATGAAGAACCCCAATAAAACCCCACCCCCCACCCCTCCTGTGAGGCAGATGAATTCTAGTTAACACTCTATTTGCTTTGATTAGATTCATTGTTTCAATAAAAGATTCACCACTATTATTTAGAGTTTACCCCCCCCCCCAAATCAGACATGTTGAAAAAGCATTGTGAAGTGATTTGCTTTCTACGGCTGGGTTCAAGAATTAAATGTTGGTTTTGGATTTCTGCTCTTTTACCTATTGACCCTGGAAGTATTTCTACTGAAAGTCAGATAGTTAAGAAATTGGTTTCTGTGTTCTGGAGTCCTGGCCGTGCTGGAGAGCCGCTCGCGGGGGGCAACCGGTGGCCTCGGTAGGGCATGAAGGGCGGAGCGAAACACCCCCCTTCCCATGAGGTTTTAGTCGCCCCCACACTCCCGGCTCATACCTGCTGTCCACAAGGCTCCCATGTGGCCGCCATCTTTCTTTCCAGAGAGGAGAGGGCAAATGGGGCAACACCCTTTCCCCTCCGGCAGACTTGATGGCCTGGATCAACGCATAGTCCGTTCACTTTTCTGCTCCAAGCTGCTGGGTTCTGCATTAAGTCCTTGTGCTTCTGGGGCCGTGGCCGTCGCACGTTCTTTCAATCTGACCTAGATGTTCTCCTTCTGTGCCTTGTCTTAATTTTTTTTTTTTTAATTGAATCATCGTGAGCTACAGTTACAAAACAATGTTTGAGTTTCAGTCATACAATGATTCAACACCCATCCCTCCACCAGTGCACATTTTCCACCACCGATGTCCCCAGGATCTCTCCCCCCATCCCAACCCCACCCCACCCCACCCCACCCCTCCCCCTGCCTTCATGGCAGACAATTTCCCCCATACTCTCTCTCTCTACTTTGGGGCATTATGGTTTGCAATACAGATACCGAAAGGCCATCACTTCCGGTCCTTTATCTACTTTCAGCACACATCTCCCATCCCGAATGACCCCTCCAACCATCGTTGACCCAGTAATCCCTTCTCTATCCCCGCTGCCTTCTCCCCCAGCTCACCAGGCAGCCTTGTCTTATACTTCCCCTTCTGGTGGAGACTGTTACTAACTGTTTCAGAGGAAGACACAAAGCTCAGAGAGGTTAAGGAGATTGAGGGGTGAGCAAGGCAGAGGTGGAAACCGGGACCCACCGGCTTTTTTTGTTTCATAGTCCTTTTCCCTAGCTGCCTTCCCAAAGTAGGGAAAGAGACTCAACCCACACGCCCCTCTCCATGGGGCTTCCTTTCTCCGCCCTGTGCCCCGCAGTTCCTGCTGGCCCAGCTGGACATCAGCCCTGACCTGGAGATCTCCATCAAGGACGAGGAGCTGGCGTCGCTGCGCAGGGCGGGGACCTTCCGCACCGTCTGCAACGACGTGATCCCCAAGCGCATCCCGGACATCCGCCGGCTGAGCGCCGCCCTGGCCCAGCGCCCCGGCATCCTCCCGAAAGAGGACTTCGAGCGGACCGCGCTGACCTTGGCCTACACCGCCTACCGCTCGGCCCTGTCGCAGGGCCACCAGAGAGACGTGTGGGCCCAAGCCCTGCGGAGCCTCTTCCAGGCCCTCAGGCATGACCTGATGCGCTCCTCGGGGGGCATCGGGGACTGGCCGGCTCCAGATGGTCTGCACGGGGACGCACACGCGCGTCACCCGGACGGTCACCAAGCCCTGTCCCCGGACCCAGACCCCTAGCGGGGACACTCCCCGCGACGCCAAGAGACGGAAAGCCGACAAGGCGGTCTAAAGCTCTGTGCCTGCCCCTTGCAGCTCTCTCTGATCAGGAACCTCCGGCCGCCGTCCGGGTGGGACCTGGGCGGGAAGGAGCGGATGGCAGGGAAATTCCAGATGCTTCCAAAGGGTACATAGTTTGTTAGCAGAAGTCTGAGACAGGCTTGGACAGTTTGCCACTAACACCCAAGAATGGGGAGAGAGGGTCAGGGAGACGGTTCAAAAGGCTGGAGCTCATGCTGTGTAAGTTCCTGAACACCACCAGGAGCAACCCCTGAGCACTGAAGCCAGGGGAGCTTCTGAGCAACTGCCAGGTGGGACCCGCTCTCCAAACAAAACAAAACCAAAGAATGGAATAGGACTCCAGGAAATCTGGCGGGGGCAGAAAATGGTGGGGACATGTAGTTTGACAAAGCTCTCTGATCCTAAAGGATGGAGTGCGGGTTCCAACAAAATTTCTCTTATGGTCCTATAGTAAGATAGGAAGAACCGAGGCTGGAGAGATTGTATGGTGAGTAAAGCATTTGCCTTGCACGCAGCCAATCCCAGTTTGATCCTCCGCATCATACAGGGTCTCCCAGGCACTGCCAGAAACGATCCCTGAGCACTGAACCAGGAGTCAGCCCTGAGCACAGTCCGATGTGGCCCCCAAAGCAAGCAAACAAGATATAAAGGACCTAGAGGAATAGCCAGACAAATGGCTTGTCAGCAAAGGAAATGCTTCTCAAATTTTTCTAAGAGCTGCCGAGAAGAATCCACTTGAAAATCAATAACGTTAGGACCTAGATGCTTTGACTCTTATTCAGGCTGATAAAATACAGAGAACCAGAATCGGAGGGAGTGGGGAGGACCCCAGACTTGTCTTCCGAAGAGAGAAATCACGCTAACATGAAGAGGCTTAGCCTAAGGCAGGAGATGCCCCACCTACACCAGCCTGTCCCCAGGTTGAATTCTCCAGCAGCAACAGAAAAGTGCAATAAAAAGTCAATGAAACAAGTTTTCAGAAGGCGGAAGTGTGTACTTCCAAATGTCAAAACTTTTTGTCTTCGATACATTGACTTGATATCATTCTAGCAATACATATATGTCTTGGGCTTGTATTTAAAGAGAGAATATATTTTAATATTAGTATCTTAAGATAATAATTTGAGGAACTGGGGTGGTATGATAGCATAATGAGAGTGCTTGCCTTGCATGTAGCCAACCCAGGTTTGATCCCTGGCATCCCATATGGTCCCCTGAGCCCACCAGGAGTGATCTCTGAGCACAGAGCTGGAAGCTAGCCCTGAGCACCCCCCCTAAAAAGAATTAAAGATAATTTGAGACACCTGAATTAAGGTGTTGGAGTCTCTGTGTTTCTTCCTCCTCTGGAATATCCACCGCTGTCTAATGTCTGTGTGATGCTACAGAAAGGACGCCCACATCAGAGGAGTTTTCTGGACACACAAAGTTTTGCTGATTCTGTGTCTGGAAAGAGTCTTCCTGCCGCCTTCTTTGCAGTTGGACCCCTTTTCTTTGTTACCAACATAACTTGATCTTAGCCCTGCATCTTTCTGAAGTTGCCAGCTCCCAATAACTCAATGATCACTAAACAGGTTCCACGCTAATGTTAAGTAGGAGATGATGGGGGAAGGTCTCTGCTAGGAGGAGCCCAGCTGGATGCTGATAAAGGTTCCTCACAGCTCCAAGGACTCTGCGATGCTCTGCTATGCCAGAGGCCCCCAGATGCTAACAGGATGCTGAAGCCTGCAACACCGGCCTTTGCATTCATAGGGTAAAGCCTGGGTGTACAGTGGGCATTCAGCCACTGTCATGGGATGGTGACAAAAGCCGGTCTGGAAATCTCTGGACACAGTTTTTCCCAGCAATACAAACTTTGTGGTCTTATGGAAAGAAATCCTAGGAGGCAAGAAGAAGGACGTCATCCCCCAGGAAAAAATATGCTTTGCACTCAGATGTTCTCAGACTCAGCCCTGCAGTGCTCCCTTCAAAGGCACATGCTCAGATCAACCTTTCTCTTCAGCTTTTCTCTTCCACATCAAGCATTCCCTCTCACACTGCCACTACGCTCGCCACTTTCCATTTTATTTGATGTCTCGATCGGTCTAAATTGTGGCTCAATTCTCATTGTCTTCAGAGCCTTTTCTTTTTCGTAGGGAGTGGGAACTCCCCCAAGTGGTATCTAAGAGGCCCAAGGAGCTCTCATGGGGATTCTTGGATTAGAGGCTCAAGGATGCTTGAGTCCATCAGTGTCAGGGACCACCAGGACTACCCTAGCAGTGCTTAGGGGCTTTCAGGGCTGCAGATAGTGGTTCTCAGGGGACCCTTTGGTGCCAGGGATTGAACTGGGTCAGTTGCGTGCAAGGCAACCCCTGGACTAGCTATCTGGCTCTGTACCTATTGATTTGTTTTGTTTGGCGGCCACACCCGGTAATGCTCAGGGTTTACTCCTGGGGATGCTCTGGAGACCATGTGTGGTACCCAGGATCAACTTGGGACCAGCTGCATGTAAGCCTTAACCTCTTACAAACTCTCAGGCCTTGTATACATTTCTTGATACAAGTTTCCTCTAGACACCTCAGGCTTGTTCTACTCCAGTCTCTCTGTCCTCTCATCTCAGCCTTTAGACCCTCCAGGGCCACTTGCTGACTGGTAAAAGCAGAGATGTTAAGTGCAGCAAGGAAGTCCCAGGGCCAACCAACTCCAGGCCAACCTTCACTATATTGTTTTTTTTTTCCTGCATGAGAGGTGGGGAAGGGGCCAGTAGGGTGCCATCCCCATGCTCTTGCCTCCCGCCCCCTGTAATCACCCCATCATAAGGACCTGAGCACAGTGGCTTGGTCACCAGGACAGACTTCCTGTGGAGCTCCATACCCACCTCGTGTGGATCTGGATTTCTGCTCCCCTAATGGTGGCAACTCAGGAACGGCTATGAGGACCAGGAGAACCGTGCAGGTCAGGACACCCAACAATAACCTGTACTCAGGAATGGGAGGCCTTATTTCAGGGACCCTCAATCTTGGGTTGCAGAGGGGGAGGAGTAGAAATAAGCACAGCATGACCTTTTCAAGAACAAATGAAAAGTTCCTTTCAGTAATTGATTCTTAATTGCCATGCAGGAGCCATGGGGGGTAGTGTCTGTGCTGGCCCACGATTCCTGGTTCATCAGTACTTCCAAGAATGGAAAATATGGAATAATAAAGTTGCTCGGACACAGAAAGATATCAAAGTTTACTGAAAGGCATAAAAGAGAGAAGCCAGAAGAGGACTTAGTATAGGACTGTCAAATATCGATCTTTGGGGGGTGGGGGAGAGGGGAGGCAGGGAGTTAATAAGAAAACTGGGCCTTTGTATCTCTTATCAAAGCATCAGGACTCCCATTTGTTTCCCAGGGTTGTCTTGTTAATATAGGGCCCACTTGTGTTGTTCAAATCAGATGGAAGTCTTGCGTTTCCACTGAAGCTGGTGGGGACTGCCTGTTTATTTAAGACCTCGTAGGTTACTTCTTTGACCATCTGTCCAGGCATTGCCCGTTATCTCTTAATCTTCTGTGACCCAAGACCTGGGGAAGAATTTATGGTCTTGGGAAACTATAAACTTCCTCGGCCTCAGAGAGAGTCCAGACATTTGCAGGAATGCTTAAAACGTAGAACAGCTGAAACAGAGGCAGGCGGCCAGAGGAAACTGAGGCTTCCTCTTTCAAAACCAAGCAATTCTTTTTCCCGCAGAAAGGCTTGTAATCATGACCTCAATTCAAAATCAAATATGCTCACTACCAGCACTGCTGAGACTTAAGCAGCACTCCATTTTGTCCTAGCAGAAAGCATCAGGCTGAGCAGAGATGGAATCCTAGGGCCTCCATGAGCTGTGCCGCAACCCCCTCCCCGAATACAATCGATCACATTTTGTCATGGTTACTCACATAATAGGAACTGGAGCGATAGCACAGTAGGTAGGGCGTTTGCCTTGCATGCAGCCGAGCCGGGTTTGATTCCTCTGCCCCTCTCAGAGAGCCCAGCAAGCTACTGAGAGTATCCCACTCGCACGGCAGAGCCTGACAAGCTCCATATGACTTATTTGATATGCCAAAAACAGTAACAACAAATCTCACGATGGAGACGTTACTGGTGCCCGCTCGAGCAAATCGATGAACAACAGGAGGACAGTGCAGTGCTACTGGCATAATGATGTGGGAATACCATGGGTGTTGTGGCAATGTGTCCGTGGTTAGTGAACCCATTCTGCCGTGCCTATATGGCTGTGATATTCTCGGGACCTAAAGACTCTGGAAGTTTCCTCTAAGGTTAGCACTTCATGGCTACTGGTATCACTGGTGTCAAGGATAAGATGCTGAAAAACACCTCTCATATTGTAGCTTTCATTGCCCTGTTCTTAAAAGAGAACTACCTGAATCAGTCAGAAGCTGTTTTCCAAGTAAACTGTTCTAAAGTGCTTATTAAATGACTTTGCATGGGACCTCTGATTTTTCCTAACCCATTTTAATGTTTTTACTTTCTGTGATCGAGACAACTGAGTAACATAAAATTTACCAGCCGAGACTTTTTTTTTAAGTGTGTGGCTTAAGGGGGTCACACTGCAAAGTCCACTTTTATTCAGATTGTTGCATGATCTGGAACAATGGATCTTGGTACAATTCCCCTGCCCCTCCTTAGTTCCTGACAACTCCCATTCTAAGTTCTGTTTCTAAGCCTTTGACCGCTTTAGATATCTCTCGATACATCACTTAGTGGGATTTGTCTAACAATTTTTCAAGCATTGTGCTCTGGCAAAAGTTCTCCTTGTGAGCTCAGATAGAGAAGAGCGCACCAAATAAAGGGTGTTGGGAGGATCCTCCCAGGGTGTGAGAAACATGCTGAAAGTAGACTATAGACCAAACATGACTGCCACTCAATGCCTCTCTTGCAAACCACAGGACCCAAAAGGAGAGAGAGAGAGAAAACAAAAGGGAATGCCCTGCCACAGAGGCAGGGTGGGATGGGAGGAATAGGGAATGGGAGGGATGATGGGACCCGTGGTGATGGAGGATGGGTGCTGGTGGAGGGATGGGTACTTGATCATTGTATAACTGAAACCCAAGCACAAAAATTTGTAAGTCTATAACTGTACCTCATGGCGTTTCACTAATAAAAGAATAAATAAATAAATAAAAGTTCTTCTTGTGGCATGAAAATAATGGAATCCTGAAGGAGAATTGCTGGCCTCAGTTTCTCTCATCTTATCTGGTTTAATATAACAAACATTCACTCGTGTAATAAAAATGCCTTTATGAAAGTCACTAGGTTCTGTGGAGTCTTTGGCTCCAGATTATTTCACTAAGGCATCTGCAAGTGGTTCCTGGGTGCGAGAATGATGTTGACTTCGTTATTTATCCACAGCTGTTCATTATTTTCTCGGCTCTTCAAAATATGCCACCAAAACATCACCCATATGGTACTCGTTCATTCTGAGTTTCAAAATCATCACCAAAAATGAGGCTCAATGGTAGTAAACACAGAGCCAGTCTTCAACAAGCATCTTGTAAGAACAACAGAATGTCAGAGGGACTTGGGTTCTCAAAAGGTAAAGTGGGGATGAGTACAGAAGGATAGTTCAGGGGTTAAGGTGCTTCTATGCATATGGCCGGCCTGAGTTGAATCCCCGCCACTGCATAAGGTCCCCTGAGCATCACCAGGAGTGACTCCGGAGTGCAGAGCCAGAATAACCCCTGAGTACCACGAGGTGTGGCCCGAATACCCTCCCTCAAAAAACACCCAGAAGGAAACAGGGAAGATGGTTCAAAGGGCTTGGGCGTATGCTTTACCTATAGGTTCAATCTCTGGCATCGCAATGCTCCCCCCTCCCCCATCCCGCGCTGAGCTGGGAGTGGCCCCCAAGCACCACTAGTGTAATCTAAAAAAAAAAAAAAATAGGGGTTGGAGTGATAGTACAGTGGGTAGAAACATCTGAGCCACTGCAGGCTGAAAGGCCGTTGCCATCTGAACTTAAAGGAGCTAGAAATGAAGTTGGCATATAGACTTTGACAGAGTTCCCTCTAAGAGACTCTGTGTCTACCCTAACAGGCTAATTCTTCTGCTGGGTTGGGCACGGTGCATTCACCCAGGTGGCGGGAGCAAATGAGGCCACGTGAACGTCTACTCTTTTGCACCCTGGGGCAATTTCTCTAGATTTAATCATTCTTCCTAAGAACGAGTCGGCTGTGGCCATCCCAGGGCATGCTCTGCGTCTACAGCAGGGCTTGGGGCAGCGACGTTCTGCTGAGGAAGACGCGGTCATCGCTCCAGCCCCTCAGATGTTTGGGAAACAAAAACAGCTTTGCACTTTGCCGAGGTCCTGCAGCATCAGCGGGACCCCGCTGGGACCAATCAAGCAGGGCGTTTGAAAGTGATGCCGACTCCGCCCTTGCCGTGCGCTGATTGGCTGTGGCGAGTGGGCGGGGCCACAGCCTCGGTCCGGCTTCCCATAGGTGAATGAAAGTTAAAGGTGGGCCTCCAGCAAGATTTTGTCCCATGACAACAAGGAATGTCTTGGGGATTTTTCCCCCCCACCCGGGCTTTGGAGGCTCTGGCGGCTCCAAGGCCAAGTGGGAAACCAGGTGGAAAGAAAGAACTTTGAGCTGAATTAAGGTGCCAGGGCCTGGGGGAGAAGTGCAGCCCATCTGGTCTAGCCTCGGCTGCACAGGGGGATCTGTTTTAAGGGGAGAAAGGGGGTGCTGGATTTCCCTCTGCACGGGGGAAATTGATCCTGCCCCCCAACACAGGCCTCCAGGGAGGAAAGATGACGGGCAGCGCCCTAGGTTCTTGGTAGCTTTATTTTAAGTCTTTCAATGACGCTTTGGAAGAGTGAGGCGTGACTTTGACTGGCTTAAAGGTGCTTTTGCTGAGCCCTTGCATGAAGTTGCTTTCTCACTAAGCAAGCCGGGAGGGAGCCCCACTATGCACCCCTCGGTCCTCCTTTCCCAGTCCCTGTTTGCTGCCCTTAAGACGATGCTCCCCAGTCCCACCTAAGAGCAAAGCCCACGCTTTGGTGCCCACGGGGCAGCGGGGAGCTCCGTCGCTTCCCAGTGAGGGAGGTTGAAGAAGTCTTTCCGGCGGGAGCCCGGCGCGGCTGCTGAGCGCGTCCAGGATGGGCTGGCTGAAGAGGCTCCTCCGGGCCAGGAACCTGCTGCTGGTCATCTTCGTGCCGCTGCTGCTGCTGCCCCTGCCCATGCTCCACCCCAGCAGCGTGAGTACCGCCTGCCCCCGCGGGCTGAGGGAGCCCCACGGGGCCCAGATTGGAAGCGGGACCTCAGCGTGGTTTGGGGGTGGCTTGAAGGAATGGAAATGGTTTTTTTTTTCTTTTTGGATCACACCCGGCGATGCACAGGGGTCACTCCTGGCTCATGCACTCGGGAATTACTCCTGGCGGTGCTCCGAGGACCATATGGGATGCTGGGAGTCGAACCCAGGTCGGCTGCAAGGAAGGCAAATGCCCTGCCTGCTGTGCTATCGCTTCAACCCCTAAAAGACTTTTTTTTTATTTTGGGGTCACACCTGGCCATGCACAGGGGTTACTCCTGGCTCTTCACTCAAGAATTACTCCTGGCAGTGCTCAGGAAACCATATGGGATGCTGGAGATTGAACCTAGGTTGGCCGCGTGCAAGGCAAACACCCTACCGGCTGTGCTATTGCTCCAGCCCCAAGACTTTTTTTAAGAGAAAATTTAGATTCAAAACAAAATCTAAGAGGAAGATAGAGACATTCCCCAAGTCTGCCTTGCTGCTACTGGGAATCAAACCCAGGACGGCTGCATGCAAGGCAAACACCCTACCCACTGTGCTGTCACTCCAACCCCAGGAATGGAAATGCTTTTTCTGGAAGGGGGGAAACCCTCACTTTCTGCCCCTCTCGATTCTGAGAGGCGAGGAGGGGTCACAGCTGGTGGTGCTGCCAGCCTGCCTGGCACGCAGAAAAGGACACTGGGGCAGTGTCCCAAGGGTTCATGTGGCCCTCTAAAGTTTTGAGCCCTGGAGAGGGAGGGGGAAAGTCCCTTCGGACTAGAAGGAGGTGGGAGGGGGTGGGTGGACCTTGGAACTTGGACACCCCGGACAAGAAGTTCCCCATCTCCCAAATTGCCTCTGAATTTCAAGCGGGAATCACGGAGCATGGCCTCTGGCCCAGGTCCTGTGTGCGGGGTCCTTGCATTTTCACATCTTGTTGCTGCTGCCAAGGAGAGACAAATTATAGAATAAAAAAGAAATGGGAGCACTCCCACCCCACCCCCCATGACCTTGACCTAGTTCTGTGCCAGGTCGGAGAGGGCTGACACTTGGTTTGCTTCTTGAGCCTTGGCTGGTTCCTTCCCTTCCTTTCTCTGCTGCCCTCCCCCCCCCACGCTCTCCCCTTCACCTCTTCCTCCCTCTCTTCCCCTCCCCTCCTCCTCCTCCTCCTCCTTCAAGTCAGCTTCCACCTCTTCCGCCTCTTCTACTTCTCCCTCCTCCTCCTCCTCCTCCTCCTCCTCCAGCTCCTCTCTCCCCACCCCTGCCCTCTTTTGCTTCTTCACAGGGGCTATGAAGTCCTCCTTGAGCCCCCTCAGGGAAATAAAGCTAAAACCAGCTCACTACTCTTTTTTTTTTTCTTTTTGGGTTACACCTGGCCATGCACAAGGGTTATTCCTGGTTCTGCACTCAGGAATTACTCCTGGTGGCGGTGCTCAGGGAACCATATGGGATGCTGGGAATCGAACCCGGGTCGACCACGTGCAAGGCAAACGCCTTACCTACTGTGCTATTGCTCCAGCCCTAAACTCACTACTTCCACGGGGCCCAGATTGGAAGCGGGACCTCAGCGTGGTTTGGGGGTGGCTTGAAGGAATGGAAATGGTTTTTTTTTTTCTTTTTGGATCACACCCGGCGATGCACAGGGATCACTCCTGGCTCATGCACTCGGGAGACTGCCTTCTTCTCACCTACCAGAGTAACTTGGTAACCAAGATTAAGATTGTGAAGTTAAATCAAGAGGCCTATGGGGCTGGAGCGATAGTACCCCCCCCAAAAAAAAATGCCCCAAAATAAAATATCAAGAGGATCAAGAAGTTCTTAAACACAAACTAGCTTAAATCCTTTGGGGGGGGGGGGGGTTGAGATTGGGGCCACACCCAGCTATGCTCACAGCTTACTCCCGACTCTACACTCAGGGATCACTTCTGGTGGGACTCGGGGACCATATGGCGTATCAGGGACCAAACCAGGTCATCTGGGTGCAAGACAAGCCCATCCTACCTGCTGTACTCCTGCCCTACCCCTGACTTAAATCTTTAGAATGAAGACAGCAGAATGCCAGAGATGTTGCTCAAACCCAGGCTGGACTGGTCTCCAGGGGTCACTGCAGAGGGCTTCCTGGGTCTGAACCATCCAAAGGGTTGGGGGGTTCTTGATGGTCTCTATCCTGGTGCTTTCCCCGGGGTCAGATGGATCTAAGGGAAGTTCCCCACAGCCAGCGCCTCTTCCTTCTCATACAGGACCAGGAGCACCCACAGTCCCCTTCAGCTAGCCTCATCTAGGGGGGCCTTGGCTGGAGGCTGCAATGTCCCCCACATCTCAGTGGGGGGCCTTCTTAGTTATGCATGAATGGAAAAAAGTATCCACTGGAAGGGGAAAAAATTAGTTATTAAAGTAAGCAAGTGGGGATGGAGCGATAGTAGAGTGGACAGGGCATGGCCAACTTGGGTCAGATCCCCGGCATTCCATATGGTCCCCTGAGCCATGCCAGAAGTTATTCCTGAGTGCAGAGCCAGGAGCAAGTCAGGAGTGCTGCTGGGTGTGGCCCCAAAACTAACAAAACTAGGTTGGGAATGTAATCTATATATTTGCAGGAAGAACACTGGGAGAGAAAGTGCAAGGCAAGCCAGTCCTGGAGAGATGTTTGAGAAGGAGACCCCACCTCAGAGGACTCGGGGCCACTCCTGGCTCTGTGCACTGTGGACCATGTGGTGCCAGGCTGGAACCCAGGTCTGTGTGCAAAGCCTGCACTCAGGTCTAAAGTGATGTTTAAAGCTGGGCTTGGGGGTGTGAGAGATGTAAAAAGGCACTTGTGTTGCACCCAGCACACCTGGATTCCGTCCTCGGCACTGCATTTGGTCTCCTGAGCCCCACTAGGACTTATCCCAGAGCATTAAGTCAGGAGTAAGCCCTGAGCACAGCTGTGTGCGGGACCCAAACCAAGATAAATAATCAATGAAGCTGAACTTGGTCCATAAGCAGGTGCCCTTGTGATAGTCTCTTCCCTGAGGACAGTTTCCAAGTGGCCACATGTGATTTGGGGCCAGAGTGGGACTTCTCTGGCAGGGCGAGAGGCTGTCCCATGTCAGGAGAGTTTAGCGCCCAGTACCTGAGCACGCTTGCATCAGCGGAGCTCACGGGGGCAGCCAAGGGAGCCCCAGTGTGGGTGCCCTCAGCCCCCCCGTAACCTGTCACTGTTCCTCCTGAAGAGGCTAGCCGCACAGGAGGGGGTCGCCACATCAGCAAGGATGCCGTTCTTCCTCCTCCTCTTCAGGGAGGCTAAAGCCCCCTGGGACCCCTGGGGCATGGCAGCACCAAATGAGAGGAATGGTCCTCTCACCTCTTCCCTCTCCACAAGCCACGGCACCATCTGAGGAAGGGAGGGCTACCTCCAGCACCTGGCCTCAGTTTACCCTGCTCCAGAAGAAAAGGGCCTAAGTATAGGGGCCAGTCAGCCCAGTTAGTAGGGAATATCCAAGTGTCTCTAGCTTCCAGGTAGCAGGTGGACGGTCTCCCAAGGCCTGCAGGGAGGCGGAGGGGTGTCATGGTCTCCCAGTCGGGCCAGATCTCCTTCATCTGTGAACAGGAGCCAAGAGAGAACCAGCCACAGGGTCATTATAGACAAGTGCTGGGACTCGCCGGCCTCTCTCCTCCTGCTGAGCAGTGGTATAGTGAGGAAGGGCTTTCTAGAAATAGGGTTTCCAGATGGTTCTGTCCAGTAGATAAGAGAAGGGACCCCGATTCTGTCCACCCAACATTGACTAGCAGCAGGGACGTGGGACTTTCACATGCACATTTTGGCCATTGGCAGTGCAGCCTTTGGGATACTCTGGCTTAGAGTTTACCTATTGGGTTTTGCTTGTTTGTTTGTTTGTTTGTTTGCTTTTTGCTTTTTGGGTCACACCCAACAATGCTCAGGGGTTGCTCCTGGTTCATGTACTCAGGAATTACTCCTGGCAGTGCTTGGGGGACTATATGGGATGCTGGGAATTGAACCTGGGTTAGCTGTGTGCAAGGCAAATGCCCTATCCACTGTGCTATCAAGTACAGCCTCTACCTATTGGGTTTTGAGGGGGTTAAGAAGAAACAAAGAAAATTTCTTTAAATTCAAAGTGAATAGGTGGAGGGATGGGTGTTTGATCGTTGTATAACTGAAACTCAAGCACAAAAATTTGTAAGTCTACAACTGTACCTCATGGTGTTTCACTAATTAAAATAAAATAAAATAAATAAATTCAAAGTGAATAGAGTGGGAAATATACTGAGGACATGTAGTGAAGGACCCTGAAGGTGTCCGTCCTTCTGCACTCAGCACAGTACTGAGAAAAATAACAGCTCATCCTGTTCTTAATGCTTCAAGATGGATGAAGATGACTTCGTTCACGAGCTGCTTCAGTACCTGTGATTAATCATAGCTGAAAAGTTTACTCTGGGTCTAGGGCCAGAGAGATAGTACAAATGGGTGGGTAGAGCACTTGCCTTGCACGAAACTGATCTGGGTTTGATCCCCTGCACGACATATGGTCACCAGGAGTGATTCCCTAAGCATAGAGTCAGGAGTAAGCCCTAAGCACCACTGGGTGTGGCCCAGAAGCAAAAAATCAAAAAGTTTATTCGGGGATGGGGTTGGGAGCAGAAGATTGTGTAGGGGTTAGCGCTCACGCCCAGCATGCACCTGACTTGGATTCAGTTCCTGGAACCTCATAGACCCCAGAGCAACAGCCCCTGAGCCCACTGGGGTGACCAAGGATCCCTGGCAGTGCAGAGCCCGAGTTGTACACATCCTTGAGCCTTTGCTTCGAACCCTTGGCTGGATTGACCTAGAATTGCCCAAAGGGGACCCCCTACCTTCTAAGCACTGCTTGGTAAGCCCCCAAGCCTCCCACAGAATGTTTACTCTGGGGCTCTGATGATTCAAAGAGGCGATTCAAAGGGTTGGAACACGTGTTCCAATCCCCATGCTGCAAAGCCCCCCACCAGGCACTGCAAGGAGCAATCCCCTTCTCCAGCACAGATGTGACCCCAAAACAGTCTGTGCTGGCCTGCCACGATTCTGAGCAAAAATGGCCCAAATAGAGGAAAGCTGCAGTCTCTCTCTGTCTCTCTCTGTCTCTCTGTCTCTTTGTCTTTCTCTGTCTCTCTCTCTCAGTGGATTGGTAATGGCTGACATAACCCCCCACCCCGCAGGTCCCAGTGTGGAGGGAGCAAGGTCCCTTCCTGCCAAGCCCTGTTCTCTCCCAATACCCCTCATGAATCACGCGACCTTTTGTAACTTTTGTGTCGGGAAGGCTTTGAGGACCCATGTTCTGAACCCAAGGGAGAGATCAACAGAACCAGAAGTGTCAAGTTCCAGATCCCCAGAGTCCCTGGGGTGGCTCGGAGCCAGCGCGGATGGGTCAGAGCCATGTGAAAATTGAGAAATGCAAAGGCCAGGGTGAGAACACAGCGGCTAGGGCCACCTGCTTCCCATTCCCCCAGTGCCAGGCCATCCTCATCTCTAGCACTGCAGGGACCCCGCCACCACCACCACGTGGCCCTGGTGGCCCCGGTGCCACAGGGCTCAGACCACACCACATCCTTCGTGGTCAGTTGCCAGCCTGGGTGGCTGAGAACCACCAGGAGTGGCCCTGGAGCCCCTCGAGTGCTACTGGGAAGCCCCCCACCCCCAAAGATTGTAGGAATGCAGTGGCCCTCCAAGTCCACCTTAAGGAACTTTCAGACCTCTCTCCAGAGAAAGCCAGTGACCTTGGTCAGCACCATGAGTCAGTGCCAGGACCCACCAACAGCAGTACTGGGGACTGAGGTCAAGGGCGCTGAGCCTTTGGAAAGAACCGTGGTCGGAAACGAGCCGCTGGACAAGACTAAGCACTGGGAGTAGGCAAAGGGCTATACCTGGTTACCTTTCAGGATCTTTATTGCAAAACCACAATGCTCAAAAGGAGAGGTGGGGCGGGAAGGAGAGAAAGAGAGAGACAGAGAGACAGATGACAGAGAGACAGAGACAGAGAGACAGGGAGGAAAAGTGCCTGCCAAAGAGGCAGGAGGATGGGGACATGGGAGGTGGGAGGGAAACTGGGGACATTGGTGCTAGGCAACGTACACTGGTAGAGGATTGGGTGTTAGGACACTGTATGACTGAAGCCCAATCCTGAACAGCATTGTAACGGTCAAATAAATAAATAAATGGTGACCTCACGGGCTGGAGAAGGAGCACATGATTTGTGTGCAGGGGGCCTAGCTTCTGAGGGTCCCCCCACCCCCGCTTCCCACCCCAGCACAGCCAGGAGCAGCCCCTGAATACAGCCAAGTGTGCTATCCCACTCTCCCAAAAAGCACACACACTCCCAAAAAGCAGCACGTAAGTCTGGTGTGCTCATTCACCCTGGGCACCCCTCAAGGCCTCACGGCCAGCAAAGCAAGGGTACCTGGTCAATGTCCATGTCCCCCTTGCAGACAGCTGACCCTCAGCTCCCCCTTGCTGGAGGAGGTTTCCTCTGCACTGGTGGGTGGTCAGGAGAGCAATGAGAAGGAGACACTGCCTAGGGCCCGGCTCTCTACCCCCTCCGGCGACATTTGGTAATTGGAAGGTGCTACTGACATCTAGTGGGAAAGACCAGGGATGCAAGGAACCCACCCCCACCCACCCACCACCCCCACCCCAGCAAGGGAATTTCCAACGCAAACAGGAGGATCTCGCACACAGGTGACCCTATCCCTACTTTCCACTCCCCAGAGCTTCTACTGTTGGATGAATGTAACACCAAAATATTTGATCCTAGTTCAAGTGGAATGTTAATCATAGCACAGCGGGTAGGGTGTTTGCCTTGCATGTGGCTGACCCAGGTTCGATTCCTCTGCCCCTCTCGGAGAGCCTGGCAAGCTACCGAGAGTATCCCGCCCTCACGGCCAAGCCTTGAAAGCTACCTGTGGCCTATTCGATATGCCAAAAACAGTGACAAGTCTCATAGTGGAGACATTACTGGTGCCTGCTCAAGCAAATTGATGAACAATGGGAGGACAGTGCTACAGTGCTACAGTTCAAGTGAAGCCAGGAACCACCCCCTAACATCCCCCGCCCTCCCAGCCCACCCATACTGGTCCTGGTCTGCATGCTGTCATTCATCTCCATCCGCCTTCCACAGCCTTGGGGTCCAGTCAGCCCGGCAGCCGACACCCCACCAACAAATGCCAGACTTGTTCCAGACATGTTTACACTCCTTCCACAAAGTAGGGGACAACATAAGGCCATCTGACTCCTACACCTCCCCAGGCTGTGTCTCTGCACCCCTGGGGGGTCCCCAAGCCCTGGGGTCTCCCTCCCATTCTCAGGGTGGTGGCTGAGGCAGTGACCCCAAGCTCCCTCTCGCCCGCTCCAGGAGGCCGCCTGTGCCTACGTGCTGATCGTGACGGCTGTGTACTGGGTCTCGGAGGCCGTGCCCCTTGGAGCTGCAGCCCTGGTGCCCGCCTTCCTCTACCCATTCTTCGGAGTGCTCCGGTCCAATGAGGTGAGTTTCACAGGCCGACGTCCTGCCCGGGCTGCTGGTCAACCCCAGAAATCAAAGATCAGAGTCCAGGGCAGGGTCAGGGAAAAACGGAGAAGAGTGAGCATCAGAAGGATCTTTCTTTCAATCTCTAACACTAAGCTTTTGTTTGGGCTGTTCCAGACCCTGAGTTCCTCCTTCAACCGATGACTCCCCCTCTTCCTCCAACTCGCTCAAAAGGCATCTTTCAGGAATCCTGGTTGGATTAATCACACACACAATGGCTCCTCCCCTCTGAAATCCTTTAAGCACACCACACAGACCCTCGGCTGCCACTGATCCTTCTTAGTCCTTTGTTCATCAGCCATGAGCAGTAAAGCAGGAAGGGACATTCTAGAACTCTAATCTCACTAGAAAGCTGTACCTCTGTAGAGTAGGTGCTTGATAAATGTTTCCAGAAACACTTCCCATGTAGCCTGGGGACTGACAATGCCTTCACCCACCTCCCCTTCAAACACATTTCCATGACATCTTCCCTGTTCATTGGTTAGATGCCACAAAGTAGGTGGCAGTGCCTTAACCGTATGCATGCTGCAGGCCAAGCAATAGCCCAGCGGGTAGGGCATTTGCCTTGCACATGGCTGACCCAGCCAACCCGAGTTTGATTCCTCTGCCCCTCTTGGAGAGCCTGGCAAGCTACCGAGAGTATCTAGCCTGCACGGCAAAGCCTGGAAAGCTACCCGTGACATATTCGATATGCCAAATACAGTAACAACAAGTCTCGCAATGGAGATGTTACTGGGCCCACTCAAGCAAATTGATGAACAACGGGACGACGGTGCTACAGACAGTGCTCCCCTGTTCAAGGAGATTGCAGGTCCTTCCTTTGCTGTCTCCCAGGATCTGCCCTGTCTGGGTGTGTTCTCCAAAGCACAAATGCACGTGGTCCATGGGAAGCCCCAGTGGTGGCTAAATTAAATCATATTTCATTCCACAGAGGAAAGACGCAAAGCCAGGAGAGACAAAGGATGGGTCCTATTCACGGACACTAGTTCCATCCCTGATAAATTCCATCCCGAGAGTCTCATTCTAGTACATGGTCTTTGCTTAGAGTTTCTGATGAAGACCAAATGATAGAGCTTGAGCAAAGAGGCAGAGAAAAAAGAGAAAAGGGGACCAATATTTAAATACCTTCTAAGAACCAGGCATTCTACCACAAGTGCTATATCTGTCATTAGAACTCTGCAAAGCAGCTGTTACTATCTACACATTGGTGTTACCAATCTACAAATGATGGTAGAGGCTCAGAGATTAGATTCCAAAGTAGGAAGTCGCTGAACTGGACTAAATCACATACCCATTAGATTACAAAGTATATGGGCCAGAGAGTAGGGTAGGGTGCTGGCCTTGCACATGGCCCACCTGGGCTCAATCTTCAGTACCCCATATGGTCTTCCAAAGCCCTCGAGGAGTGATCCCTGAATGCAGAAGCAGAAATCAGCCCTGAGCACTGTCTGGTGTGGTCCTGAAACAAAACAGAATATATTTGCCAACTTAAAATCCCTTGAGAAATTCGTGCATCACAGGTCATATGACTTCATGCAGAATTATCACTGAACCCTGAGGCTATGAGGAAGGAAGGAAGAATTGAGCTCTGTGATGCCTCAACCATGGATAACAGCTTTCCTGAAAACTCAAAGGCAGAAACCGTATGTCCCCTAATTGTTATACTTGATGGACTCAGCTAATCAGTTTCTGTTTGTTTGGGTTAGGTATATTTTCTTTTTGTTGCTTTAGGGTTGCATGTGTACATGAGAGAGAGACAGACAGACAGAGAGACAGACAGACAGGGTGGGGGGGGAGAGAGAGAGAGAGAGAGAATAATGACAGAATCCCAAACACCCTCTGCAGAGTTTTTATTTCTGAAGATTATGACAGCATAGAATACTCACCCCCAAACTAGCCTGTGGCTCTAACCTAGGCGCCCCCACACTGTCCCCATCCCTTTGTGGAGAAAGAATCAGTAGTTGGGTCTGGGAGCTTACTGCAAAGAACAATCCTGATTGTCACTTAAGAAACACTTGAAGTGAACTTAGACTCTGGTTTCTCTTTACATCCGTGAAAACAAAAACCAGCAAGATAGGCAGGGTGAAGAGAAGAAAAACGAAGTTGTAGAAAGAAATGAATCTTAAATATGTTGGGGAAAAGGGGGACAGGGATAGTATCAGGTAAGGCACTATCTTTGCATGCGGCTGACCCGGGTTCAATTCCCAAGAGCCTATAATACCCCAAATAACACCAGGAATGATCCCAGAACACAAAGCCAAGAATAAGCACTGAATACCACTGGGTGTGGTCCCCTCAAAATAAAAATATACATTCTGGGGGGCTTCTAATTAGTGCTCTGAGTCCAGAAGCCACTCTTGAGTCTCCACCAACCAGGCTGTTGGTTCAATGTAGGGGCCCCAGGATGGTCCTTTGTCATGCTGGGACTTACTCAAGGGCCTCTAGGACCATATGCAGCACTGCTGTGGCTTGATGGGTCAGGGGGTGGGGGGACATGTGCTTTGGGGAATAGAAATGAGATATAATCCCTGTGCTTTCTCCTTGGCCCTTAAATAAAATTTAAAAGTGAGCAATCCTCAGTGGGTTGGAATGTATGCTTTGCATGCAAGAGGTCCAGGTTCAATTCCTGGTACCACAAGGTCCCTCCCAAACCCAAAAGGAGAGATCCCAACTTCTGAGTCAGAAATAGCCCCTGAGTGAGGCTGGAGAAATAGTACAGCAGATAGAGCACCTGCCTTGCACACGGCTGACCTGGGTTCAATCTCCAGCACCCCATATGGTCCCGGGACCTCCAGGAGTGATCCTGGAGTGCAGAGCCCTGAGCACTGCCAAATGTGCTCACCTTTCAAACACACACACACATGCACGCACATATAAATAGCCCTTGAGCTCCACTGGGTGTGACCCAAAAGGCAATCAATGAATCAGTCAGTTGACTAGTGTGGCATATCTTTTTTGCATACCATGCATGGCAGCTGGAGCACGTCAAGAGCGGGCATCTCTCTATAGGGGCTGCCAGTCAGCGCTTCCTCTGGGTGGAGCTATTGCCAAGCGATGCTTCATGCCAGTACCATGCCTTGCACAGCTCAGAGTATAGGGAGGCAGCCCTTTGCCTTCCGGAGGAGAAAAGGAAGCCTGTGTGGTCAGAGACTTCATTGCAGTGGCATTGCTAGAACAGAGTGCCATTCCCAGGTGAGAAACACTGGGGCAAGTTTGGTTATTGGAGCGAAAAGCCCTACTCCAGCCGTCTGGCCCAATGGCCTTGGCTGAGGGGTACTAGTAAGCAACTGAACTCTAGTTTAGCCCAAATGGATTCGCTTTAGCCTGGTTTCAGAGGAGAGAGAAATGCTGGTGAGGGCATGCTGACAGGGAAAGTTAGAACTTCACAAGTGTGAGAGAGAGAGAGGCAGACAGAAAAAGAGATAGAGACAGAGAGAGAGAGACAGAGAGTTGGAACAGGTGTTAGAGCATTGTATGACTGAAACCCAATCATGAATAACCTTGTAACTGTGTATCTCACTGTGATTCAATAAAAACAAAAAAAATTAATAAAGGCATTTGCCTTGCATATGACTGACCTCCATTCAGTTCCCCATGTATTACCAGGAGTTACCCCTGAGTTGAGAACCAGGAGTCAGCCCTGAGCATCACCAGGTGTGCCCAAAAGTCAAACAGTAGAAACCATAGTTGGTCAAGTCCTATGTAACGGCTCCTGGTGGCCGTGTGAGCCTGCATGCAGTCTGGCTCCCAGAGCTCCATTCAGGTCCAACACCCACCCGACTCTCCTCAGATTCCCCACTCAGGGCCCTCACTGGGACTCTGGTCTTCTTTCTCCTTGGAATGTTTCCATTCTTTTCTTTTTTTTAAAAAAATTTTTAATGGAATCACAATGAGACACACAGTTACAAAGTTGTATGGTTGGGTTTCAGTCAATGTTCCAACATCCATCCCTTCAGCAGTGTACATTTTCCACCACCAACATCCCCAGTTTCCCTCCTGCACCCCTGCCTGGGAGGCGGCAGGTACTTTTCTTCTCTAATTCTTGTTCTCTGAAAAATCCTGCCTGACGGCCCCCTCCATGGAGCCTCTCCAGAGACTGCAGCTCAGAGAACTGTTTCCTCCTTGGAGCTGATATCTTTACTCTGAGAGAGGTACACAGCCGGGCCAGACATCTGCCTCCTGGACACAGCCAGGGGGCCCTGCTTCCGATTCCTCCCCACGGTGTGTCCTGGTCTGGGTCCATCTCCGCAGGAGGCCATGTCGGGGTGACGGTGCTACCTGGGCTCTCATCCTCCACCCCCCCTTTACCCTTCAGCATGCATGAAACTGTTTATGACTCTTCCTCAAGTTTAAATGGGATGTTTCAGGTCCCAGAAGGTGACTCAAAAGAAGGAAACCCTCTTTACTGACCCTTAAATCTCTTTTTTCTTTTTTTTTCTTCATTTTATTTATTTATTTTTGTTTGGGGTCCACATCCAGCAGTGCTCAGGGCTTATTCTTGGCTCCGTGCTCAGGGATCACGTCTGTCACAACTCAAGGGACTATATGAAGTTCTGGGGCTCAAACCCAGGTTGGAACACATGCACGGCTAGTGGTTTACCCACTGGACTATTGCTCCCACCCCTTTCTTAAAAAAAAAAAAAAAAGCATTAACACTTTAATTAAGCTCAGAGAGGTTTTTTGGGTCACACCCGGCAATGCACAGAGGTTACTCCTGGCTCATGTACTCAGGAATTACTCCTGGCGATGCTTGGAGGACCATATGGGATGCTGGGAATCAAACCCAGGTCGGCCGCTTGCAAGGCAAACGCCCTATCTGCTGTGCTATAGCTCCAACCCCCCAGTGAGATATTTAACGGCCACCAGGGGCCATTACATAGGGCTTGACCAACTATGGTTTCTACTGTTTGACTTTTGGGCACACCTGGTGATGCTCAGGGCTGACTCCTGGTTCTCAA